AATTGGCTCAGGGGTCGGGCACAGCGGGTGACAGTGACTGGGGTGACATGAGGCTGGCACCTGTCACTACTGGGGTTCCCCAGGGCTCCATCTGGGCCCTGTGCTCTCCAACATCTCCATCAATGACTTGGACACGGCACTGGAAGGGACACTGAGCAAGTTTGCAGGTGACCCAAAACTGGGAGGGGCTGTTGAGCCCCTCGAGGGCAGGGAGGCCCCGCAGAGAGACCTGGACAGATCCGAGGGCTGGGAATCACCACCCATGGGAAGTTCAACAAGGGCAAGTGCTGGATTCTGCCCCTGGGATGGGGCAACCTTGGATGTATGGACAGAGTGGGGAATGAGAGGCTGGAAAGCAGCGCCGGGAAAGGGCCCTGGGGGTCCTGGTCGGTGGCCACTTGGCCCTGAGTCAGCAGTGCCCTGGCAGCCAAGAGGGCCAACCCTGTCCTGGGGGCATCAGGGAGGGGATTGTCCTGCTCTGCTCTGCCCTGGGGTGGCCTCACCTTGAATATTGGGGCAGTTTGGGGCACCACAATGTAAGGAAGATGTTCAGCCATCAGAGTGTCCAAAGGAAGGACAGGGAGATGGGAAGGGCCTTGATTTGAAGCCGTGTGAGGACACTGAGGGCACTTGGTGTGTTCAGCTGGAGCAGAGGAGACTGAGGGGAGACCTCACTGCAGTTCCAACTGCCTGGGCAGGGGCAGAGGAGGGGCAGGGACTGAGCTCTGCTCTGGGGGGACCAGTGACAGGACCCAGGGAATGGCTGGAGCTGTGTCAAGGCAGGCTCAGGTTGGATCTCAGGAAAAGGTTCTTCCCCCAGAGGGTGGTTGGCACTGCCCAGGCTCCCCAGGGCAGTGGGCACAGCCCCAAGGCTGCCAGAGCTCCAGGAGGGTTTGGATGATCCTCTGGGGCACAGAGGGTGACTCTTGGGGATGGGCCTGTGCAGGGCCAGGAGCTGGACTCGATGGTCCTTGTAGGTCCCTTCCAACTCAGCATATTCTGTGATTCTGTGAACTCAGTTTAACTCATACATGTGTTAAATAGGACACTGGATGTGGACAAGTGCTGAATTGGCCTATTTAGTGTGTTTATAGAGTCACTTCTGGCCATAGAATGGTCTAATTAATCTTGAAGTACTCTGTTGAAAAATGTTATGATTTAATGCTTTTTTGCTTTGTCCTTGAGTGGCATTTAATGTCTACACCCAGTCAGGGAGTGACCTCAAGGCTGCAGTACCTCCTGAGGAGTGTGTCCTCTGAGAGGTCTGCTGGAGGACTGAGATGATGTAATTTTTGCTCTGTCAAATGGAGCTCCCACAGAGCCAGCTTTGGGCATGGCACATACAACTTCTTCCTTGGCTCCTCAGTTTGGATATGCAAATGTCCATCTGGTTTTCCTGTAATTGGGTTAGCACTATCCTCATCTCAAAGAGATCTCGTCTGTTCTTTCATCACCCTCAGCTAAAGCAACGTCACAGATGCTGCTGACTCATCTAGAGAATTTGGGAAAAGTAATTTTACCTTCCATCAAATCTTTCCTTCTCTGAGAATTTCCTAAAGGCTGACATGGGGAGTTGTTTGGTTTCCTTTTGGGGTCTCCCAGACCATTTCAATGATTAGCTTGGAAAACTATGACATGTTTAAAATTAGTTTGGTACAGTCGTTAAGATGTTAATTCTACCATTTGTTTTATCCACCAGGATAAACTTGGGTTTTATGGGCTTTGAGTGTGACAATAAGCAATCAAGCCAGGCCTCTGGATGGGAAAAATACAGTATCTGTTTTAAATTCGCCCGAGACAGGCAATATTCAGAAAAGCTAACAGTGATTTATTTGTGCTTAATCCTCCTAACCTCTAATTAGGGTGAAACTCCCATTAGTCTCTAGGAGCACAATGACTCTGTCATGGAGCAGTACTGGGGCTGTCTCTACACTTGAATTTCAAGAAATTTTCAGTGGAGTTATTTTGGTATCTGACAGCTAAAAATTTAACACTCTTTTTTTGTCATGTGCATGTTTTATCATCTGTGTGCTGGTGACATTCCAGGTGGGTCCCTGGGGGAACTCTTGCTCAGCAGAAATAGCTGTTTAAACTAAAAACATTGAAGCAAACATTTGGTGCCCATATTTTATTGATTTTCATATCCTCTCAACACCTCATGCAACATGATCTTTACCCAGAAAGATCAAGTTACTAAGGCTACTAATTTCAGAGTACTTGGTTATATATATTATATATAATATATATTATATATATTCTTTGGTGTGATAGATGAACAGCAAAGAAAGCATAACCTCTTTCTAATAAATTCCAGTTGCAAAGAAGGCTTATTAATAAATCAAATTTTAAAATGCACTGTAGGTAAATGCTATATTAAAAAGTGTATGCATATGTGTTGAAAAACAAATCCCTTCAGTGGTCTGCCTGGGTCTTTCCTTTTCCTTCACTGCACATCCCGTCCTTGGCTGGGTCTGCTGCCATGTCCGTGGCTCCTCAGGTGGGTCTGGGCACTTCCCACATCCCTTGGTGACAGTCCCAGGCTGTGCTACACCTCTGGATGATGGGGTGTCCTTGGCAGGTTTTCTGGTGACACCAGTCTGGGAGCAGGGGCTGGTAAGTCCGGAGGGACTGAGCCAGGCTGCAAAAGCATTCTGAACCTCCTGCTGGTCAACAAGGAGAAGCACAAAGTCCTACCCCTGGGAAGGAACAGCCCCAGGCACCAGGATGTGCCGGGGGACACCCAGCTGGGGGACACCCAGCTGGGAGACGGTTCAGCAGGAAAGGCCCTGGGGGGGCCTGGAGAGCACAAAGTTGGACGTGAGTCTGTGTGCCCTTGCAGGACAGAAGGTAAGTTGTGTCCTGGGCTGTGTTGGAAGGACTGTCACCAGCAGGTCGAGGAGGGGATCCCTTCCCTCTGGTCAGCACTGGGCAGGTTATCCCTGGGGTGCTGTGTCCAGATTGGGCCTCCCCAGCACCAGGGAGACATGGACATACTGGAGAGAGTCAAACATCAGGAAGCTTTTTTTTCTGTTTTTAATGGTGAGGGTGACCCAGCACGGGGACAGGTTGCCCAGGGAGGTGGTGGAGTCTTCCAAAGCTGCCTGGACACAGTCCAGGGCAAACAGGTCTAGGAGGCCCTGCTTGGACCAGATGACTTCCAGAGGTTCCTGCTGTCCTCAGCCACCCTGTGATTCTGCAAAGCTGGAGTGGGAGCTGCTGTCTAGTGAGCAGCTGTTTGGTTGGTTTCTGGCTCTCTCTCCTTCCCTTCCCTCTCCTCCTGATCCTCTTGACCCAGGTAAAATACAGATTTTCTGACCGGACTTTCTGGTATGAAAATGACACTGTCAACAACTTGAAGGGAACCTAAATCTTTACCTAGTAAAGGAAGGGTCCGAATTCCCAAGTCTGCTGTAATGTGTCAGTCTTCCTTCTCATTCCCTTTTTATCATGTCTGAGTGGCTTACAGATTCCTGAGCCAAGATATATGATTAAAAACATACCTATGTAAATGTACAAGAATTCAAGCTTGCATGGCATGTGTCAACAGATGTATTTTATAAAAGATAAGGAACACAATGGCATCCTGTCATCATTAGGGCTCTCTCTTAGGTTAATCTGTCATCTTTATATCTTTAGACTGAACAAAAATTTCTATCAGCACCTGTGTTTTGAGTTCTGGGCTTCAGACCAATTATTATAAGGAAAAAGAGTTTGTGAGGCTTGAGTGCCTTTGGAGTGTCATCTGTATCATCTTGGCCTTCCTGGAAGACTTTTGTAGCCCTCAGCTGTGTGTTTAGAAATAAATCAATGAAGAAATTTCCTCTCAAGTAGACCTGCACAGAGGATTAGAAAATTCATGAGTTGCGTTCAAGATTCACGGTTAGAAAATCTGTGACTGTGAAATCTGCAGAGCGTTGGCAGGGACCCCGTGGAGGCAGGTGGAGAGAACACAGGAGAGAGGGGTTTAACCTGGAGTGAACGTGGCTCCTGGGGCGACTGGGAATAGCAGTGGGATGAAGGGAAAATGCTGAAATCAAGGAAGTACCAAAGAAGAAAAAAAGAAGGGAAGGGAGCAGGGGAGATGAACCCTGTAGATACAGAACGGAGGAGGTGAAAAGCAAGAGCTGGAGTCTGACAGAGGAGTCATTGGGACATTTTCTGGGTCTGCTCCCTCCTTGTTCTTCTGGTAGTTTAACCAAGAAGGAGTTTCCTTCTGTGCCATCTTGGATACCTTGAGATTGAGACAAAGAGCTTCAAGAACAAGAGAAAGAAGCCTCCCAGACACCTGTTTGCTGCTGCCTTGAGCTTCACTCACACCTTCAGAGCTGTTTCTGAGCCTTTACACCCTTTGATGTGGGTTCTTTTTTTCCCCTGTGGTCACTGGTTGCCTGCAGCACATGGAGACTGATGCCTGAATTCACCCTTGGGGTAGGTTCTGGGAGCTGCCTCTAGTAGTAAAGGGCAAAGAAAGGGATTGATTGCTTATAATTTGCTTTGCTTCAAGATGTACATGTGGGACATACATTCATTTTTGGCTGATCTTTCCTTCTTCCTCCAAGTTGTGGATATGTCTTCCTGCTTTTGGGATTTCTATACACAGTATCCTTGGCACCAGGAGAAGAAGGGCTGAAGAATTGATTCCTATGGACATGGCTGGGGAAAAAAAATCTGATTTTTATGTTATGAGGCACAGATACATTTAGGGTTCAAGTATACATGTATTTTATACACATGGGAGGTGCTGGTTACTGCAATGACTACAAACCCTGAAGGTGGATGGACTGATGCTCAGCTGAGGATGATTGAAAAATTGTCTTATTTTCAGGTAGAATAACCTACATAAATTCTTGTCCTGATTTTTGTTGAATATGTGAAAAGGGTTATGACTCTCTTAAAAAAAGAGCCAAAAACCCGAACAATCCCAAAGCACCAAAAATCCAGAATTCATCCTAAAACAAACCCTTTGCTAAAAATACCTAATCACTGTCACTCTCCCTGGTTGTCTGCTCCTTGAAATAACATCCTGGTTGTGATACCATTAACCCCGTAAAAAACTTGTCCACTAAATTTTAAGAGGGGCAAATCCAAGCTTCAGAGCTCTCTATTTTGCCATACACACGGAGCAATTCGGAATACCCACTTGAGAAACTAAAGAAAGACAGGAGCCTCACTGTGTCCCCAGCTTGACTTAGCACTTGGGGTTTAACATTAGGCACTGGCAGATTGTCTGGAAGATTCGGCATTTGCACAAAGCACAGTAGTTACAGCAGGAATTCAGGTGTGGTTTGCAGGGTTTGAAGGTTGGCACACAGTTGGCAGCTGGTGGGGGCCTTGGTTTCGGAGGTGTCTTGCGTTCAGCATTTTTCTAGAAGACAAAAACGTGGGAATTCGTGGAAAAGTGAAGTGAGCACAGGTCACAGGGGTCAAGAGAGGGAACAGAGGGAGGGTCTAGCTTGAGGTGAGGAGGTGGTTGCTGGCAGTGAGACCTGGATTAGCAACACAGAGGTGTGGTTGGTCTGGATCGTGGGAAATGGTGGCTGCAGACCAACCCTCTGAGCAAAATGATAAACCTTGTGAGCCCTGGATTTTGACTGTGACTGGGCAGAGTGTTGGAAAATGATCTGTAGGGAAAACTGTGGAAACAGTGAGGAAAGGTATAGAAAAACATCCAAAGATGATGAAGTTATCAATAAAACTAATTGAGGTGTTGTGCCTGGATCCCCAAACTTTTCAAATGAAAGACTGAACTCTCCCTGTCGGTCTGTGGGGCTGGTACTACTTTGCTGGGCTGAGAGAGCAGGGAGGTGACCTGGCAATGCTCCACCTCACAGGGCTGGGCTGCCAAGCTGCCTTTGGAGCCCAGTGATCCTTCATCCATGAGAAACCTTAACTGCACACACGGATAAGTGTCCCCCAGCCTGCCCAAGGAGTGCTGCTCCTCCGTCTGGGACCGGGAAAGGTGGGAAATTTTGGGTTGCTCAGCACGTGCCTGGGACCTGGGAGGGATCTCTGGAACATGCCAGCTGCAGGCACCCTGTGCACCTTTGTAACTCAGAGTTATGGGACAGTTTGGATGGGAAGGGATCTTTAAAGCCCTTCTTGTTCCACCCCCTGCCATGGGCAGGGACACCTTCCACTAGCCCAGGTTGCTCCAAGCCCCGTCCAACCTGGCCTTGGACACTTCCAGGGATGGGGCAGCCACAGCTTCTAGTTTTCTTTCCACCTTTATTATTTTGCATGTGGTTTTACAGTATTTAGAGCTTTAAGCTGTATGTCAATTATTTAACTCAGGGAATGGCAGTAAAAGCCTTCCAAACGAATGCACAGAGGGAAGCTCTACACGTAACAAACCATTCTAATTCAACAAAGTTTTCTGAACAACCACCTACCTTGGAAGATTTCTTGTTCTCTGCCTCTTTCCTGCTGACTTTCTGGGATCTTCTAGTTAAATCTTCAATGAGAATAGCACAACATAATATGAAACCAATTTTACAGCATGGTGTTTCGTTGAGATAATCCTATTTTTGGGTGAGAGAAGGCAAATAACCTGCGTTGCCACCTCATCCCTGTGTGTTTTCCAGTGAAGGTGTTCACCTCAGGCACAGAGTGGCTGAACTCTTGTTGTCACTGCTGCTTGTGCAAAGCAGAAGAACACTGATGTTTGTATTTTAGGAGAGAATTTTTACACTTTGTTTGGTAGATGCAAATAAGGAACAATTTTGGAGAAATAAAATTAAAGGTTCCTGTCTAAAAGTTGAGGATACTCATGAACATTAGTCATGTGAACAAAAATAGGAAAAATCTTTAGAATTCTGTATTTTTTTTCTGTTAGAAGGTGGTGTTACATGCATAATTTTGGAAGGAATTAGGAAGTGTACACTGGTTTTCACAAGCAAAAACTCTTTGCTGGTTTGGTACAAACTCCTCATCTGAGTGATGCCACCTTTCATTTGCAGTTCTTTGTTCCTTCTCCACCCACCATTTGTTTTAGAAAACATTATTCTCAAAGGTGTTTCATTCATGTGCCTGTAACTTGGATTATCATATGTCTTTATCACTATATATATACATTTATAACTATATATAAATTCCATGACTAAGACTTGTCTTGGCCTCTAACACAGCAAGACTGTTAAAGTGTGAGACACTTCCCAGCTCCCCAACCTGTTATGATATTTTTGATACCTTTACTCTGTGTGTGAGTTTTGTAATAAGCACTGTATGTATGCAATGAATGATTGGGATAAAAAATGTCCATATCCCCACTGATAAATGGTGGCTCCTCATCTATTCCAGTGTTCTCTATCAGTATGTTTCTGAATATTTGCTAATTGCAACAGAGTGAAGAACAAACACTTTGGGCTGGTTTGAGTCGTTTCATTTATTAATCATGATTTTTTATGGTTAGAGTTATGTATCTCTAAGAAATAGTGTGGGGGGGAAACCTGTACTTCAAGCATATAAAGTTATTGTCACTTAATAAAGGTATTGCACTAACTCGATTAGTGATTTGGATGCAGTTCCAGCTGGAATATTGAGTGTTCTTTGTTATTCTGTCCTTTGAAACTTCCTGACAGTAACAAAGGTACGTGTAAGTAATTTAAATCTACCTCAGTTTGACTTTGTGTAGTCCAGTTGTACAGGATTGTTTGATTGCTTTGGCTATAAGAGAGGTGAGTGTTATGCAGAGATCTGTTTCTTCGAACTATTCCTGCATTTTCAGTGTCAAATGTTCACTCTGTTGTATGAAAGGACATTGTATGTAGGGGAGGAAGGAATGCAAAGGTGAACTGGAGGTTGTGGTGTTGGCTTTGACTATCAGTGTGCTGGGGATTGCTCTTCACTCCCTGGCTGATTGCTTCATCCCTCTGTTGGCTATAAAATGGTGAAGCAGAATAGCTGGGATGTGCCATGGAGGGGATACAGGATGCTCTGCTCCTGAGGGAGGAGAAGTCTCTTTGCAGACAACCAAATGGGGCAGAGAGGGACGAGGGCTTTTGTGGGGCGTTGCAGAACCCCCCAGAGCAAAAGGGCCTGACAGTGTTAGGGGATCTTTGCTATCCTGCATGTCTGTTGGCAAAGGAATAGCAGAGAATCCTTGCAGAGCCATGCAAGAGTTTGGTACCTCAAAATGAGCTGTACTGAAAATAACTTCAACCTCCCCTTTTTGTTCTGAAAAAGGAAGGTAATTCTTAGAGTATCTGAGAGATGTTCCATCTCTGTAGTAAACTCAGTTCATGGAATCCCAGAATGGTTTGGGCTGGAAGGGACCTTAAAGTTCATTTTGTTCCACCCCCTGCCACGGGTGGAACACCTTCCACTAGCCCAGGTTGCTCCAAACCCCATCCAGCCTGGCCTTGGACACTTCCACATGGCATGACACAGCATCTCTGTCGTGTTTAAAGCAGGGGCTCACTTTTGTGAGAAGACAGAGAAATCAACTGAAGTGAGTGTATTTTATATCTCTGATTTTAATTGGAGTAAAAAAAAAATGTTGGGAGTGTGATGCTGAAGGTATCAGGGATCACAAGGACCATGCAATGGTGCAGCTTGGGAGGCTGCACAAGAGCACAAGGTTCACTAAACTTGCAGTTAAACAAGGCCAAGTTAACTCAGCATTCAAACATTCAGATTTCTGTAGAAATGCAAGTGCAGGGCAACTGTTTTTCCTTAAAGAAATGTCATCCTGAGTAAGAGCTCTGAAAAAATACAGTAAACAAGGTAAGAAACCAAACTGCTTTAAGCAAAAGCTCTAAAAGCCTGTAGAAAGGAGCTAAACAAGAGTATTTTTTGCATTATTAGTGTTTTGACAGAGTTATGAATGGTGTTCTGCAGCTAATTAGCTCCAAAAACTTGATTCTTGAAACCAGAAGTTTGTGTAAATTAGGGCAGACACAAGGAAAATATCTTGTGAAGAAAAGAGTTAAGCTTTACCCTAACAAGGTTCTTCCCTAACAGGACAGAGTAAGAGTAGGGATAGAGCTGGTCCTGTCTTGGATAAATAGATAACCCCTGGCTCTCCCTTGCAGTGCTCTTTTCTTCCCCTGGTTAAACTGAGGTGATATTAATACCTGTTAATACTGTTGATTTCTCTACCACAAGAGCAGATACTTAAAAAGACCCCACATTATGTTCATATTTTTTATATGCATGAGATTTTCAAAGGAAGATTATTGCCCATATTAGCAGAAGAACACCTAAACACAAAAAGACCTGCAGTATGATAGGACCTGAAGTAAAGTCTGTAAAACTAAAATAAGTCATCTGATGATTATTCTTTTTTTCCCCAGAACTGAGGGTTGTCACATTGTCATTCTTGGGTGCTGTAGCCACAACAGCTCTGCACTAAGGCAATTGTGTGACATTGCAGTGTTATCCAAATAGTCTGTAGGAACCAACAACTGCATTGTCTGCAAATCCTGTTAATTTGGCACCGAATGGCAGATTTTACTCACCTACTATGGAGATGGGTGGGAGATCTGAGAGATCCATTCTGCTGCTCCTGGACAGGTTGCATTCTGCCTTCTCCTCAGTGACCATGTGGGAATCAGCAGCTCTGAGCAAGCTGTAGCAGAGCAGGAGGCTGAGGAAGAGCCTCTTCCTTTCCATCACGGGGGGGAAAAATTCCATCATCATGAAAACCAAAGTTGGTCAAAACCTGCAGGTGGAAGAGGTGCAGGGATATGAATCTCAGAAATGGTTTTCTGTCACGTTGTGCAGCTTTAGCGACAAAACTTTGACAGTTCTTTTACTTCCAGCACTTTGATACCAGAATACCTAAGTTTCTAGTTGTCAGAGTGGAAAAACACTGTATCAAATAGAACTCTCTTAGGCAGTCTCTTTTTTCCTGATTCTTTCCTCGAAATGTTTATTTTCCCAGAAGATGCAGGAGATCTCCCGGCTGAGTTTCACAACGACGCATGACCAAGGGCAGAAGCTCAATCGCTTCATCAGACTTTTTTTCCCAGAAAATCTCGTTAACAAATTTGTCCTAGAAAACATGGAAAAATAATGACAATTTAAAAAAAAAAAAACAAACCCACAAACTGTGTTTCCCTGTAGTTTTCTCCTCTTGAAAATAACCTCAAAAGTGACTGCTCTAATCCCATAGTAAATCACGGCCGTAACTCACTCGAGTTATGAAAAGGCCCAGTGCTGTAAAGTCTTTATGGACCTTACTGTGCACGGAACAACTTGTAAGATGTGACAAAGTCTGTGGGATTTGAGGATATTTATGGAGGAACCTGAGCAGAGTGTGGCCATTCACCTCAGATGACACTGCCAGCCCCCGGTGACGCAGTGAGGGGCACACAGATTGTGTCACCAGCCTGGGCTCCTTCTCTTGTAGATTCCTTGCAGGGCTGTGTTTCAAAGCTGATTTTTATTTCCATGTGCATTACTTTGATGCTGTGTCAGAGTTATGGGAGCCTTCCCTCAGGGGCACTGTCAGCCTCCAGATTTATGGGTAGCCTTTCTTCAGTGAAAAGCTACTGGTAGCAGTAAAAGGAGGGAGTGAAACCAAATGTTTTAAGCCATTCATCTGCTTGTGATGACTTCATTACTGGAGAGTTAAAAGATGAAGAGTTTCTGCATTGGAAGGGCTTCAATCTGGTCACTGCTGCTATGCAGAATCTGTTCTCTGCACGTGCTTTTATAGCCCCCCCTGCCCCTCTGTTCCTGTGAGATGGTGAATATTATGCTTCTAATTCCAAGCGTTTGGGCTCAGTTCTCAAATCGTCTGTTCTCCAGGCCATGCTCATGGACCAAATCACTGCTGGGTGTATGGATGCTGCTTTCCGTGGTGGTTGTAGCTGTGCCATGAGGATATTCACCTCTGCTCTGGAGATGGGCTGGGAGAGCTGGGATTGTTCAGCCTGAAGAAGAGAAGGCTCCAGGGAGACCTCAGAGCCTCTTCCAGTGCCTGAACAGGCTTATGAGAAAGAGGGAGAGCAACTTTTTACACGGGCAGAGAGCAATAGGGCAAGACAGGATGCTTTCAAACAGAAAAAAGAGAGATTTAGGTTGGACATTAGGAAGAAGTTCTTTATTCAGAGGTTAGTGAGGCCCTGGCACAGGTTGCCCAGAGAAGCTGTGGCTGCCCCATCCCTGGAAGTGTCCCAGGCCAGGTCGGATGGAGCTTGGAGCAACCTGGGCTAGTGGAAGGTGTCCCAGCCCATGTTGGAACTGGATGAGCTTTAAGGTCTTTTCCAACCCAAACCATTCTATGTTTCTATGATCCCACATCTGTTAGGACTCCAGTGGGATTTGCAGGGAAGCACGTGTTGGATCCTTTGTGGTTTAGACATCTGTGTGAGGTGGAGCTGAAATAGAGCCTGCAGATTTACACTGGGGGGTTAACCTTGGGAAGGGAGGGCTGTTATGTCTGTATTTCAAGTGATCCACAGCTGATGTTGTTCAAAGCTGATGTAAAGTTCAGACCCCAGATGGGCCATGGTCATGGCTGTGGGTAAAAGTCTTCTTTGAACCAATTGATTCCAGTTTTGTAAAATGAGATGGGAGGAATCTTTCATTTGATTCCAAATAACCTCCTAGAGAAGAAAGTAGACCTTATTTAGAAGAAAATAAAAATTGCAATAACCAAAAGGAACAAGTCTTCCCATGAATATTTGTTGTGATGGTAAAATCGTGGGCTTGAGTTTTCAGCTATTGCAATTGAGTAAAGGGTCAAGATGACCTGTCTGTGTTCATTCTTTACATGCCCTGATCTTGCAAACTCTTCTACAGAAGTTCAGCCCTTGCCTGGGGCAATTGTATAATGGAAGTATGTGAAAATATTTGCTAAGTCAGGATCCTACCCTGATCTTTTTCTTCTGTGCAGAGAAGAAATACCCTTTTATTTGCTTTTTCCCATCTCCTTTCACAAAAGGTATCCAAACTTCAGTGACATTTCTTGGTGCTCCCTGACAACTTCTCTGTCACATAGCTTTACATGGAGAAAACCATTCAGGTCATAATTAGAATTTCTTTTCATGGACCCAGTTTTACCAACCTGAGTGCCCCTAGTGATGTTCATACTCCAAGTACATGCTTAAAAGTCATAAAAGAACTAAATAATGGCTTGTGTGCCCAAAAGCGTATCTATATTTTCCAAATATGCAGTTGGTCAAATATAATATATTACTTAAAAATGGTAGCCTGCTCAACATTTAATTTTGCTGATTTTTCTGGGTCTGGGCACACAGGGAAGGAAGACATTTTTTACAGTGAGGGTGGTAAAACACCAGCACAGGTTGTTCAGAAAGGTGGTGATGCCCCATCTGAGGAATCATTCAAGATCAGGTTGAGGGTCTTTGGGCAACCTGCTTTAGATGATGATGTTCCTGCTCATGGCAGGGGAGTTGGACTAAATAACCTTTAAAGGTCACTTCCAGCCCAATCTGCTCCTTCGTTCTGTGACACAGGGCTTGTCTACGGCAGGTCAATGCAGACATTTGGGCTCTAACTCTTTCCAGGCTCTGGGTTGGAGTGAAGAGAACAAGCTGGGAGCTGGGAGCCGTTTGCTTTGCATGTGGGAGTGTTCATACTGTAGATTTTGCTTTTTTAAGCAGCTTTTTAGCCTGGCTGCAGGAAATGCTCTATAACACACCTGCAGTGTTGGCACAAAGCTCCCTGGTGGAGCCCATGCTGGCTTGTCCCCAATGTACTGTTTAAATGAGCTTCCACCCCAAAATGTTGTTTCCATTGTATTTCCACATCTTTATCTCAGCACAATTCCCTCACTGGGGTGCAAATGCAAACCTGGCTGCACAGGTTGGTTTGAAGGGCAGGTCCTGTCTGACCAACCTAATCTCCTTTTATGCCCAGGTGACCCACCTGGTGGATGAGGGGAAGGCTGTGGATGTGTCTCCCTGGACTTCAGCAAGGCCTTGGACACCGTCTCCCACAGCACACTCCTGGAAAAGGCTTGGACAGGGGCACTCTGGGCTGGGTTAGGAACTGGCTGATGGCCCAGAGAGTGGTGGGGATGGAGCTGCATCCAGCTGGGATCTGGTCACCAGTGGTGTCCCCAGGGATCAGTGTTGGGCCCAGTCCTGTTTAATGTCTTAACTGATGATCAGGATGATTTGAGTCCACCATCACCAAATTCGCAGACGACACCAAACTGGGGGGGAGTGTTGATGTGCTGGAAGGCAGGAGGGCTCTGCAGAGGGACCTGGACAGGCTGGATCCATG